GTGCTGGGATTACAGGCGTGTGCCATTACGCCCGGCATATAGAAGTATTTTTAAAGCGAATAATAAATAAATATCACTAGCTTGTGATAGGATTATTTTGACATGAAATATGAATTCTAAAGACATTTCTTCTAATGATTAAGTACTCAGTAAGTGTTAGTAATGATAGCTGTATTGTTTTTGTCATCACTGATATTGTCATTTAAAAAGATGGAGTTATCTTCTGTTGAGGTCATACACAATGCTGGGAAACTAATATTTTTTGTCATCTTTGGGATTTTTCTCCCTGACCAAGAATTCCAGCCAGAGGTAAACACTGGATAGGAGTGTGGCCTTCATTTCTAAGTCTATCCAGCCTTATTCTCCCACCAAGACTTCCACAAAGAAACTGTTTGTTCAGGGCCACAGCGGGGACACTACTGGAGTAGGTATAGCAGTAACTCTGGACTTCTTCTAAGTGCAGTGTATTTCTCTAGACAATAGATATCCTTATAGAGTAGCTAGAAAAGAGACCTTTATAATGAAACTTCTTGTCTTCACCAGTGAATTTGTACTGGTTAACGTTTAAAATTAACTTGTACTGTATTCATCCTTGTGTGCAGAAACTACACATTCATACAGTAATATCCACTTTGCCATTTTGAATATATCTATTTTTCATACTGTGTGATCAAAAACCACAGTGAATGTTTAAATTTTAAAAAAGTCATATAATAAGTTAATGTAACATATTGTTATCAATCTTCTTCAAGACACTCCTGCTTTGAACACATTTATCTTATCATTCTCCTTATCACCTCCTTCATGAATCCTTTTGAGATGTGATAAAAAATGCTCCAAATGCACTGTCGAGTGCCATCCAACAGAAGGGCGGGCTCATAAAAATGTCACACTGTGTCCTCAGGCAACTTTATCACCAGATGTGGCACCATTGGACCCCTGACTCTTCCCCAGAGTGAAAAGGACCATGCAAGGCAAGCGTTTGAATCAGTTTGGGACATCAAGACAGCCATGACAGTGCAGAAGACACACGTGAAAGAGCACCTCCAGGACTGCTTCAGAAAGTGGCAATAATGGTGGGATGAGCGTGTTCAAAGTGAGAGGAGCATTTTGAGGTGGATGAATGGTATTGTGTCTTTTAATGTAATAGAACTTTAAAAATGTAAGCATTGATTATATCTTACAGTCATATTCTACATATCATCTTATTATGAAATAAATGTAGTTCCTAATCTCTCTCTCTCCACACACACACACACACACACACACACACACACTTCAAAATGGGTTATATCATATCAATTCTGGAGAGTGATAAACATTTTAATAAAAATACCTGGTGTGATATTCATCTATCTATATTATTCAGAATTACTCTCCTGAATTTCATTTCTATGCATACCATGGAGTTCAGATAACCCTATGAGATTTAACTTCAGTTCACGGTAATACTGAGTTTACCTGGTACCCACAGGTGGACTTTAGGTGAGCTACCCATGTTCTTGAGTAGGGTCTGCCTTGTGCTTAAGCACAGGCGTTTGGGCCTTAAAGATTCGGTTCTGGAGACACCAGGAAAGATATGTCATCACAGCCGTGTGTGTGAAAGGACTTGGGCTTCTGTTGATGGGAAGTCTGTGTGAACAGTGGGAGGCAGCCATTGCCTGTGCATGGCCCAGAGCAAAGCAGGAGATAACGTCTCTGTACTTCGCATTAGTCCGCATCTGCACAGGTGCCTTTATTCCTAGATGCTTAACTGCAGTGGAAAATGAACGCATTGGACCGTGTGAAGAGCATGGTGACCAACATGCAGCAGAGTCTAGAAAGAGGACTTAGGTAGAATCCTTACCCAGGAGGGTTCATAGTATAGGTGGGGAAAAGGGGTATAAAGGAAGAACGTTTGGCCTGAAAAAGAAAAAAAAATTAGGAAGGAATATCATTGTTTTAAGTACTGTGATGTGAGCAGGCTTTCCTGGGAGCCAGAGCAGTTCTTTGGAACCACACTGAGGTCCGAAGCTAAGGGGAGAAGAGCTGCTGACAAATCGGCTCTCGTTTCATCACTCCGAGGCCTGCCCTCCCTTCCCTCTGCAGACTCCAGAGGTCAGAACAGTGAGGACTGCCAGGGCTGGCCTGCTCACCAGACAGTTGCTTACGGTCCCTTCCAGTCTCTTTCCTCTCCCTGCCAGCACCTCGTGGCTCCTAGTCGCACGCGTGTAGTGTCAGACTTCCGCTCCCTCCGTTGCAGCCAGCTGGCCAGAAAGTAAAGCAACACCTGGTGTACTCGCTGCAGCGCTTCTTAAACTTTAATGTGCATGTGAACCATGCGATCTGGCGTCTTGTGGAAATGCAGGTTCTGATTCAGGAAGTGTGGGCTGGGGCCAGGGAAGCTATCCAACGTACCCTTTTTCAAAAATACGTGGTCTTGAAGGTCTTGAATTTCACCCCAGCTGTTTGAGGTAGAGGACTTTAGGTGCTGTCTGAAACTGTCTCCGAAGATACAGGTGTTCACTTGTGTAACTCCGGGTCAGCTTTCTCTTCTCATAGCTGAGCACTCATGATTCCCACAAGGTAATCACTTACTCCAATGCTCTGTAAAGTGGTCTTTAAATGATGTATTTATAATACATTAAGACTTGCTCAATGAGGCCGTCGCCCCAGGAATACTGATTAAATCCTGTTAAATGTATTTACCGCCTTCTGTAATGATTGCATCGGCCGATTTTTATGAACATATCTAATTGTCATCGATTGGAGTTGGTTTACGGTCATGTCATCTCTCCCAGGAGTCACCTATTGGTCAAAATAAAGTAATTAAGAGATTTTTGCAACGTGTGGATCTTAGTAAAGCCTCCACTATAAGATCATGGTGCTTTTTGGTATGGGAGTCCAGGGATTTTGAGGCAAAGCACTTAATATCTCTGATCATGTGTGAACCTGTCAGTGAACTAGAAATAATAATGATATCCATTTAAACGTGAAATGAGAAGATGTTCATGAAAGCAGTTGTCGAGTGACATCCACTCGTTCGATCTCGTCTTCCCTTGCTCCCTCCTTCGTATCTCTTGGGCTACTTTCTGCTACTTAGGTGGGGAGGACACATTTTAGTGTCTTCTTCATTAGTCCTGAAACCTCTTAAGAGAGGGATCCGTATTTTAATACACTTTAATTCGTTCAGTATATGTTCAGTAAAGACATGCTGCATGAATTAACGAATGATCAGATAATCTCTAAGATTTTATCGACTTTTAAATGACCTGCTTGATTCCTCTCCTGTTTTAGTTGCTTAGATGAAATTGGAGAATTTCCTTGAGATAAATTTTAAGGAAGTTCTTCCTTTCTGATCTTATAAAATTGCATTTTATTAATTATTACTAATATGTATGCACCTGGGCCTGCAACCTGGCTGCTGCTGTATAAATCATCTCTGGTTTATGCCTGGTTCTTTGTACTGCTGTAAGAGTTGTGGGTCAGAGGCTGCTCTTGATTCTCTACTGCTGACTTGTGAGAGAAGAGCAAGAAATGTGCATTTGTTCTCAGTGGGCATGGGATTTGGGAGTCATGGATAACAGAGGCTGAGTTTCATGATATGTTCATGTTATCCTCATAGAAGATGCACTTTATATTTAGAGTAAATACAGTGTAACTGTTAGGGTCAGGCCCACTCAGTGGGTTGGAAGAGAGGTAGCAGGTCATTGTGTGGCTCCCTATCAGGTGAGTAGCTCTTGAGTTGTCCTAGGGACGCATTGCAGGAGGTTGGCATGGAGGTCATCCTTGCCATGACTGAGGGCACCCTCTGGGTTGGCAGCAGACTGCCTAAAACACAGACGATCACATTGAGATCTGCTTAAATTTGTCTTGGGTATGTTACCTGACCCTTGAATCTCAATTTCTTAATCATTAAAAAGGGATAATACTATCAATTTTGTAGGTTTTGTGGGCAGTAAATTAGCTGGTGTATGTGGCACACTAGTGCAATGCCCAGCAGCCAGGTCAGGCCTGATGTTGGTGACTGACAGTGACAGTGACACATCCCAGAAGAGAGGTGTTGGAGACGAAGTGCTGTTGTCACCCACGGAGGTGCCGGGTCTGGTGTCTGAAGCATGCCCCAAACTCACTTGCTGTACTTCTGGACTAAAGTGCCATTACCATAGTGGCGCTAAGAATTTCTCATGGATCTGGAAAACATGATAACAATCTTAGGAAAGAGAATCCAGTGGCACATTTTATTCTGTGATAATTAGATGTACCGGTTCGTATGTGAAACAGCGTCCACTTCTTCTCCTCTGCTCATCACTTAGGAATTGTCCAGTTAAAGGTCTTCCAGTTAAAGGTCTGTCCAGGCGAGGAGAGGAGGAGGAGGGTGAGGGGAAGTGGAGGGGGAGGAGGAGGAGGAAAAAGAAAGAGGAAGAAGAGGAGGGGGACCTAACTCATCGTTTTGCTCTTGCAGTGTATTTCAATCCCTGGTGTCTAATATGACTTTTATTGTTCATTAACTCTTGAAAAATTTAAAGTGACAGTTCTAAAAATAGACATCAATAAATCCTTTCCACTTGAATGGCCTTTCTTAGACAATAAGAGGAGGGTTCTGACCTATACTTTTTTTATTTTTTAATTTCTGGTACCTGGGATCGAACTCAGGACCTTGCACTTGCAAGGCAGGTGGCGGTGCACTGAGCTAAATCCCCAGCCTCTGACCTGTGCTTTTAAGTATGTAAAAAATGCTGCAGCAGGCTTTGCTAATTAGCTTGTGACTCTTTACCTCGTGGTGAGGCACCTGCCGATTTCGTTTCAGAGGCTTAAGCTTTTGCCATCAGGGCTCTAAGACAGTAGGTGAAGTGGGGTTCCCGTGCAGTAAAGGTAGAGTTGATCTCGAGTCAGTCATGGCTCTTTGTGTGGTGTTTGGCTGATTTTAGGTTCTGAGAAACCTGGTGAGGGGGTGGGGGCTGGTGATAGCCATGTGTCCCAGAGCTAAAATAAACCAATTTTTGTTCCTTTACACACAGCTACTTTGAGCTGGAGAGCAGTGGCCTGAGGGATGAGATCCGATATCACTACATGCACAGGGGGAGGCCCAGGACAGAGGCGCTTCCCTACCGGATGGCCGATGGGCAGTGGCACAAGGTCGCTCTGACAGTTAGCGCCTCTCACCTGCTGCTCCATGTGGACTGCAATAGGTAAGTCTTTGTCTTTCATCCTTAATGATTCTGCCCTTGAAATTAAGCAATGGGAAGGGGGAAAAAAATCAAACCCCTCCAAGACTTGCCAGGAAACAAAACTAAGGGACCTTAATTGTAATTTAACCTATTGAATGGGCCATTAGGCATGCTGAAATGACCAACCATAATACAGTAAGAAAACAGTTCATTAAGATGAAACTGTACCCTGTGATTAGGAACAAATGTACAAAAGGTTGATTGCAGATTGGGGAATATTAAGTGCACCTCAGTGTGCTCTAGGCCCTGGTTGAAATTCCGTGGAGCTGTGACTACAGTTAACTGTGATATATTGTTGTTGAGTTCGTTCCACTTGGAAGCGAATAAGCCAATCTCCCTTAGAATGAATCTGAGAAGCCTGTGCTATCGAAGCAGCTAATTCTATTTTACTTCATCAAGCACAACTTTGCTTAAATATCTTTTCCAAATGGAGCTTTCTTAAAGAGGCTGTTCTTCGACTTTTTTGGAATTGATGTCTTCTACGCCCTGCAGAGGAAAAGCCTTCCAGCTTGTTAGAGGGTGGCAGGACTCTCTGTGAGGCCAGTTTCCCTTGGAGGTTGTGGGTTATGGTGAGAAGCGGGTGTTGTCCCGTGTTTGGCAGTGACAGCTGAAGAGGGGAAAAGACCATTGGTTTTTATTGGGTCATTTATGGCTGGGCAGCTGGATGATGGCAGTCAAGGGAAATGTTGTGATCTCTCCAGAACCTTCTAAAAATCCTTATGGATAGTGATATGAGTCCAATTACGGAGAATGTTTTTATTTTTATTTTTTTGCATTCCAAGAAGTGTCCATGCATTATTAGCTTCATTAATGGTGCCATCAAGGTTAAAATGACTGTTTGAACGCAAGGCTTGCTTGTGAACCCAGGGAGTGGGATGGTAATGTTGGGGATCGTATCCCTTCCAGACCCATCAGGGAGAAGGGCGTTTGAAGATCAGTCATAGACTGTGCCTCTGATGGGGAGATTCTCAAACGTGCTTGTCATTCCAGCTCTACAGTCTCTTCTAGAAGACCTGGGAGAGCAGGAAATTAGTGTCAGATTCAAGGGAAGTTCTGCCATATTGAAGTGAGTCTTAATCCATTTTTGATGTGATCAATGTAAGTTGCTTGCTGGACTTCTGAATCATTTTAGATTTAACCAAATACAATATGTGTGCCTGAACAATTTCCATAGAATCTGCTGGCTTCTTTTTACCTTGTAGACCTGACCTGGGCAGCCTGCATAAAGCCACAGTGCTTGGCTCCTCCTTCTGGAGCTCATTGGCTGGTTTTCTACAACTAAGGATGTTTGCTAGGTAGCACTCTGGTTCCCCATGGCCTCCCACCCCTCGGCTGTCAAAGGAAGGGCACTGCTTGCCTTCCTAAACCATATGCCAGAAAGAGGCTTCAGACCCTTGAATTTAATAATTCTCGTCTGAAAAGTCCTGGAGATACTGCTCTTTTCTTGTGGTGCTTTTTCTCCCAAAAGTTTTATTATTTCTTGGTGGTGTTCTCTTTGGAGAAGAGAAAAAAAGAGAAGACAGAATCTGTCTCTGCTAAACTGGAGTTTTAAGCTCTTATATATTCTCTGCTTCCTGTGAAATATTCTCTTGTTAGCTGTGTACATTTAGGCAGGTTAATTTCTTTGCATCTCGGCTTCTTCATTGGTAAAACAGGAATACAGATATGAATGCGTAATTGCTAATACTAATTATGCACTACATAATTACAGTTTAGTCAACAACAGGAGGCGTATGAGACAGTCCCATTAGATATGTCACCTGGTGACATTGTAGCCATCTTAGTTTGTCTAAGTACCCACAGTGGTGAGATTACCTAATGGTGCGTTTATCAGCAGGTGTCCCCTTTGTTTTACCAAGGGGAATGTGAAGTGAGATATTCCTTGTGAAGTACTTGGTGCCTGACCTCTGGTGCTGAATGTATGTTTGTAGTGGTGGTTGTCCTTTAATCTGCACATCTCTGATGCCTCTGTGTCTTTGCCTCCAAACTGTTACCCCCTGCATGCCCTTCACAGTTACCAGGGAGGAGAATGGGAAAGGGGTGAGAGCTGCGGCTTTAGGGTCCATTTTAAAGGTGAACGGCGAGGATTCTCTGTGTCTCTTCTTCTCTTGACATTTTTCACTCTTTGGCTTAGGGCATGACATCTTTTGAGTAAAAGCTTGGGGTTGTGGGGGACATATGAAGTTGTTGCCAATTAATTATTCCAAGACTCAAAACACAAATAAGCTTTTTAGACAGGTCAGGAGATAAAAAGGCTAAAAGACTGAGCCACAGGAGAGAAAAAATTTTGACTTCTGTTTAGGAAAAGTCTAAAAACACAATTCCAAAATCTGACTATACATAAGAATTACCTGAGAAACTTTATAAAAATATGTACAGGCAAGCTCTGTCTCTGACCTTTGAGGGGTCAAATTCAGTGAAAGTGGAACCAGAGAAGCTATATGTTTATATTTTAATTTTAATTGACATTTATTCACATTTATGGAATATCTTATGGTAATTTAATACATCTCTACACAATTTGTAGTGATCAAATTAGAGGAATTAGTATTTACATCTCCTCCAATATTTAAATTTTTATATATTAAGAACCTTTATACTCTTCTAGTTGACTTCAAATATATACTAGTTGTTGTAGTCTATAGTTATCCAACTATAGAATCATGGAACTAATGCCTTCTAATTACTTCCATTTTGGTACTCATTATCTCAATATTTTCTATCTACCCCCAAATGCTTGACCATTATTCTATTCTTTTTCTCCAACGAGATCAACTTTCTGCATTTCCAAATGAGTGAGAGCATTCAGTATTTCTCTTGCCATGCCTGGCTTATTTCATTTAACATGATGTCTTGCAGTTCCCCTCCACTGTTTCAAAGGAAAGGATTTCATTTTTCATGGCTGAATACTACTCTACTGTGCATATATTTTTAGGAAGTTCACCTTGTAGTTTTCATGCAGGCAGGAGAGCCTCGATGCTTGATGCTGGATCACAAGATCCCGGTTTAGGTAGAGAGAACGGAGCTGGTGGGAGAAGCTGGGTTGCAACAAAAGCAAGTCCTGAAGCAGAGCCCTGGAAAGGTGGAAGAAAGGGTTAAGAAGAGGGCGAGGTCTAGTGCACAAAAGGAACTGATCTGCTTCACGAGTTTCTTCCTGGCAGCCCTAGCTGACATGAGAGCAGCAAAGCTCTATCCCATATACCAAGATGCTGGTCCCCCACTTCTCCAGGCTACCCTCACAAATCCTGAGGGGATTTTCCAAAGGCTTCTTTTTATTCTCTCAGTCATGTGTTTCGTACCTGGAGTTTTTTGTTTGTTTGTTTGTTTTGTTTTGTTTTTTTTGGTACGGGGATAGAACTCTGGATCTTGTGCTCGTAATGCAGTCGGTGGAGCCACTGAGCTAAATCCCCGTCCCCATACCTGGAGATTCTTGTTTTCAATCCTTCTCACCCTTAGAGTTATGTTCTTGTTTTACTCAAATGCCTACCCACTGTTCTGCTGACCAGGTTGCAAACGGATGATTGGTAACATCAAAGTGCTGGCAGTGCTTAGCTCCTTGCCGAGATCAAGTCATGTCATACCAGTGCTGGTACTTTTTCCTTTTTAAAATGAAGAAATCTAGCATTATATCATCTGTCTGAAGTCCTGCTGCTCATAAGTGACAGCTCTAGGATTTGAATCCATTGACTCATGGGTACCACTTGACTTCCAGGGCCTGCAGCTCTTTCATATTTTTTGTGCTGTCTGGAAAGGTGTGGGTTCCAATGAATGAATCCATTGTACTGGACCAGGAGAAGAGACCTACGTTTATGGAGCATGTCCTACAGGTTGAGTGATGGGCTAGGCTACTCATTCCTTAGGATAGGCAAATGGGGACAGTTTGATTAGACTCATTTTATGGATCTGTAAATGATTAGGCTCACAGAGGTATGTAGCTAAGTTTTAATCACATTATACAAGGAGCATCAAAACAGAACTTTGAGCCAAAGTACCTCCCAGACCTTAGTCCTACTACACTTCCATACTACCTCCATGGTGTGCTTATAGCATGCACTTCCCAAGACAAACTCACAAGCACACCAGGAACTCTTCCCAAGGGAGAGATGCTGTGGATCATCAGAAAGACACCTAAGAGCAGGAAGATGAGATTTCCCAGGCAGTTCTATTGCTCTGAAGAATTTTTGCGTGGCAGGAGTTTCCATCATTTTTTCATAAGGTTAGAATTGAGAAACAGCTTTTTCAGGCCTAATCGCACAACTTGTCCTGAGAAAAGCAACAGATATTTTAGTCAGTAGTTCAACACTTTCTGCTTGCTACTGGGACTTACACTTTTTTCCTTGCCTCAGCTGTTGAGCAGGATCTAGGTAGATGCTCTCAACGTACCGGTCACAGAGTACCTCAAGCTAGAAACATAAAAGAAAATATTCATTTGGTGGCCAGGCTGATTATCTCCATTGCCTTGGGTTTTTCTTTAGCTGCCTTTTATATTAATAGTTGCCAACAAAGGCCACGGTAAGGCCTGAACTAATCTCCTTTCCATTCTCTCTCTCTATTCTCAGCTCCCTTGGCAGGCTGTCCCCATTACTCAAAGGACAAAAGCCATCAACACCTGGGATTCACATAAGTGACCTTTCCTATTCACCACCAAGAGAAACAGATTTTCTTTCCTTTATTTGGTAACTTTTAATTTCCAATCAGCCCATCAATTAATTTACTGGACATATTATCTCTGCCAGGCTGTGCAGGATACAGAGGAATAAAAGAGTTCTGGCCACCAGGAAGATCGTGGCCTATTCACTTAGACATTTTAAATTCCTCTGAAACCTTCTCCAGCCCCATAATGGATGCTTTTCCTGGGACATCAGAGAAAGCCTGGACTGAAAGCCCCTGAGCAGGCTGATTTGACAGCTGGTAAGTGCAACTGAACACTGGAGAGATCTGGAAATGTTTGCTTCCAGCAT